AACCACTGTATTTGTAGGTTCAGATGATTTGTCACACATTTGTACAGTAGTGAGGTCTGCATCCCCAGAGACTTTTGAATCAGATAAGGGAGATCCTGTTTTATCAACAACAATGGCACCTTTGTCCCCTGAGAATTCGGCCACTCTGACTTGTGATGCAGAACTGTGGAAGCTGATTTCTCAAGTGCATGATCCTCAGTATGTGGGAAAAACGTTTAGCCGTGAAACAGGGTTTATGCAATGTATTGGCAGCACGATAGAAAATGAAAGGAGTGTTCCAGATGGTGACCAAGATAATACATTAGAAGGTAAAAATGAGCATGACGTCACAGTAAATGCTTCAGAGGGGACACATATATGTACTTCCCCAGCCACAGCTGGCTTTCTTTGCACTTCAAGTGCACAGGTCATATCAGAAATATCTCTTTCACAATCTGACAAACGTGTTTCAGAGTCACCTCCACCAGTGATAGAACACATTTGGTCTTCAGGAGCAGCTCCATACAGACAGACAAAGTACACATTTGAAAAGCCTTCCCCCGAGGTACATACAGAGTCTGATGATCATTGGGTGGTTAAATCTGTATCTGACTCAGACGATGATGATCTACGTGATTCACCAGAATCCTTGATAGACTACAGACCCATATCCCCCGATTCAGTCATGGTGATGGAATCGAGACCATCATCACCAGAATCTGTATCATCAGTCAATGAGTTTAGACGCCTCTTACCAGATTCCCCGATACCTGAATTTACAACGTTTTTGCCAGAATATGTAACGTTCCTCAGATCAGCATCATCTTCACCTGAAACGTTAGCATCAGATATAGATTATGCGCAATTTGAAAATATGGAATATCAGTTGGAAGAATGCAGGCCATCATCTCCAGGGTATTCACTCTTAGAGGAGGAAGATGAGAGAGAACGGCCATTGTCGTCTCAGTCTCTGCCTGAATACAGGCCCATGTCACTTGAATCAGCTATGCAAATGGATCAAAGAGCATCATCTCCTGAATCGATGCCTGAGTTTAATGAGAACAGATCCCTTTCTCCAGACTCCCCCATTCCCCAGTTCACTGTGCCATTGGAGTACATTATTACACATAGGTCATCGTCACCTGACTCCACGGGTTCAGATTCAGAGTGTGAGCTAATGGTCTCGTTTTCAAGAGATGCTGAGACAGACAGACCATCCTCACGTGAATCCATGTCATCGCCCAATGAGTTCAGTCGACTAATCCCAGACTCACCGGTACCTGATTTTATGAGAATATTGTCTTCTTATTTTATTGACGCTACCCTTGTTGATAGATCTTCCTCACCAGTGTCTTTTTCGTCAGACTCTGAGTTTGTTGCTTTACCTATTGATTGTTGGATTGATGATGGCCCAAGGCCACTGAGCCCTCAAACTGTTGACTCAGAAGACGAATTAGCTTTTTGCTGTGAGGATACTGAACCTTTGAGTCATGTGACATTACCCAGTCAGTCTTTATCATTACCTAACAAAGGCCCATCGGCTGAGTTATTATCACTACTTCCAATCAGTGAGAACAAATCGAAGGAAGAAAATATCAATCCTGACTCGCAAAAAATGACTGGACCAGAGGTTTCGTCAAAAGAAGGGATACAGCGTGAATCAGAAGCTGAAAGTATCTCAACTTCAGGAACCGCGGTTTGTGAGGAAGACTTCCAAAAGGACTTTTCTGTGAAACCATCGCCAGTTCAAGATCCACAAAGAGAGGGAAAGAAGATCCAACTCATCCATGCTGGAGAACTAAAGAAGACGACAGGCTCACAAAGGGTAAGACTGAGAGCATGACAATCACGCAAAGAATCACGTGTGTTTTGGATTTCATTAACGTGACCTCGATAAGGAAAAGAACTGCCTTGATGGACTAACAAAATGGAGTGCAGTTAATGCATCAAACATGTCCGGAATGTTTCAGGAATAATAAATTACTTATTGATCTTCCTCCATTTATTCATCTGATGCTAAGCTCCCTTTGAGTGTGCATGTCTTGGCTTCACATTTATTGTTCAAAACATAATGAGAATTTGGCTGTATAGAAAATAATCATGCTTATTTATGTTGATATTCACTTGCAGGCTCCTCCTCAGATACTAGAGGAACCACAGTTTCTTACAGATGATAAGCAAAGCACACCTTTGTCTGCTACAACACTGACAGAAGACTCAAGGGAAATAGGTCTGGTGTTCGATGGTGACAAGCCAATGAAATCAATCCCCCGACAGCTACCTGAGCAGAACATACACACCACCCACAGAACTGTTACTCCAGTTCTCCCTGCATCGGAGAATATATCACGTGTAATGTCGGATAGGTCCCAATGGCCCTCAGGGTCTGAGTTCTCCCCTGATGAAGAGCAGTCCAGGGAGATTTTTTCACCTATGTCCACTCAGCTTTTGGTACCTCCCGATTTTGAAGCAGTATTTTCAGGACATCAAACCCTGAGAGTTTCTGAATTGAGCCAAGCTTCGTTGAATGATTTGAGTCCAGTGTGCAGTGACTCAATTTCAGCTCAAGTTGGGACTGAAGCCACCTCCGAAGGAGAGTCTGAATATCTACAAGACTTCGAGTCTTCCCCAGATTTTAACAGAGTCGTCTCAGAATTTGAGAAAACAGCCTCTGCATTTGAATCAGGGCATCCAAAGGTCCTACCAAAAGAACTCAGGAAGGGATCGGATTCTCCACAGCACTCTGACTCAGATGGGGAATTCTTTGACTGCAAGCAAGCCTTATCTGACAACTCTGAACCAGATGAAATGAAACTCAAACATGAGATGACCTATCATATCTCTGAACCCCCGTCCCCAATGCCTGGGAGTCGCTCTGATCTCTGCTTCCTGAAAGGCAGCCCTGAATACACTGCTCACTCTTTCCTCGGAGTGGAAGATTACAAGCGCTTCTCTTCTGGCAGTGAAAGTTTCGGGGAACTTAATTATGATTCAGAGGGTTCACGGGAGTATCAAACAGAAGGAAACCTCCCAGTGTGTGAAGAGCTTCCTTCCAGAGATCAGGCAGGGTATGACGATGATGATGACTTCCTGGGAAGGGTAAGAGGTTGAGCATGAGCACAGTGCTGCACTGGCTTGTTTCTTGCCTGGCCAGGTTGGTTGGTGTTAAGCTGCATTCAAGACTCAGAAAAAAACTAACGTGTGGACTTAACCTTAATGAGGCTGACGAATGCGTTTGTGTGCATGAGTGCCTAAACCCTTCAAGAAAATAACACAATGGTGAAGACTATAACGAGTTGATGTATTTAGTATTGTGTCATAGATGGCTGAAAAGCCGTTGATATTGGTGTTGTGATTGATTGCATTCACAGATTTTGGAGTCAGCATTGGCGACATTAACATATTCCTGTTTAGAACTTATTATATAACAGATGACTTTTTATTCACACCTGCACCTGTTTGCATCCTTTGCTTTCTCTTTGTTTGTTCCATCAGTGTGTGAAATACTATTTGACAAGTGCTGTGCTGTGGACAGCAATTACAACATTGTATTAGTAATACTTTGGCCTCACATTAGGGAAATATATATATTTCAAGCTATTTCCGTGAACTCATTGTGACTATGGATCATAATGACTTTGCATTTCAACTTCATCAACTTTTTTGTAGATATTTGGTAAAACAAGGGGGAACTGGGCTTAACCCTCCTGCAGCTTTACAAATCATTTTTCATCATCTCAAACATAATGATCTTTTATTAAGTTCCGACTGGTGAACTGATGGTTAATCAGATACGGTTCTAGCCGGGGCAGAACAGGCTGTAGGACTCCACAATAGCCTGTGGGTTGCAGAGTCAGAATGTGCTCTTCAGATTCATACGGGTTTTGTTGCATCTGATCTGTTCAGACCATGATTTGAAGTTGATACTCTGAGATCATTTGCAAAATAGCAGCCTGCTATGAAATCTCTGAAACTATTTTGCATATTTATTTCACTTTAAGTTATAAATGAGGCCAAAAAACATGGGAAGGAGGAGCATACACAGCAAGTTTTCATGTATTATTCTGCCTACATTTGAATGATTCTTTTCCTAAGTGTATCAGGTTACTAGCAGTTCGTCCTATTTCAGTGGCCGTTTCTGTGCTGCTCATAATCTACCAATATTTCAAAATGCAAACAACCTTCAAAGCTTAGATCAACATCAAATAATTGGGATTTAGACAATTTGATAAGATTTAAGGTGTTAACTGGGGGGGTCTGAGACCGCCTGTATTACGCACACTGGTGACCATCCCTGCACGTTTGTTTCAGTTGGAAGTTGTATATAACTGTGCCTTCTCTTCATCCATAATCATTATTGTGTAAAAACATTTGTATTGCCTCATGACATGTGTCTGTCTCTGTGCCTTTTTGGCCAGCAAACATTGAAGTGAGGTTCAGAGAAAAGAAGGAACAGCTGTTTGCAGTGTGTAGTAACATTGTGTGGACCTGATACTATGATCCATGCTGGTTATGTGCGCTCTCCCAGGAGATAGCAGAGGAGCTAGGGATGCTGTCTGATAGCTCAGAGGAGGATGTGCTGACCACCAGGGTGGTCCGACGCAGAGTTATCATTCAGGTAAACAGCACGATGCAGCTGTGCAGCCTCTGTGTTATGCTGCAGAGCTGGTGGGTAGCAGGGGTTACTGCAATGGTGTGTTGTTTTTGTTGCTGGGTTAATCATAATATACACAAGATCATGTCGACACCATTTTCTTTGCTTTGTTATAGAGATTAAAGTCCAAAGGGCCCTATTATGCTTTTTGGGTTTTCCCTTTCCTGTAGTGTTGTATAGGCTGTTGTGCATGTTCATGGTCAGCAAAGGTTCCCGTCAGAGGGAGTTTCACACTGCTTTCAATAGACTGTAGTTTGTGGTGCTGGTTGATTACGGGTGATTTATATCATATGTGTAGTAGATTCTCTAATGGGAATACCAAGCTGTGCATTAACATGTGAACTGACAATATGTCTTTTTTCTACAGGCGGATAACCTCCCAGATATCCCAGCACAGACCGTCACAGAGGAGAAGTACACAGATGAGCATGGCAACATGGTGGTTAAAAAAGTAAGGTTTTATTCAAAGATAGCAACAACAACAAAATAACCAGGATTTGTGAAAAAAAATCAATGTAATATTCATTGGCCTACATGATTAAACATCCAGCTTTCAGGTTTTACAACTGATCTCTTGTTTTGTCCACCAGATCACTCGGAAGGTTATTCGTAAATACGTGTCAGCGGATGGCATGGAGACACAGGAAGTGACCATCGAGGGCTCTCACCAGGAGACGGTGCACATCGAGGAGGGAGACACTGTGTCCAGAGTGGTGAAGAGGACTGTGTTACACAGTGGGGGGGATCAGAGAGAGGTCAGTGCCATCGAGCTGCAAACATATCACACTATATAATCTCACTGCATCACATGGTGTGTGATATTTTGTGTTAATCTCATCCTGCTTTTCTTCATTGCATCTTCCACCTAGTACTTTTTCATTTGGTCATAAAGACAGTTCTTTGGCTGTGTTCAAGACTTGTATAAGGTTGAAACATTCTGACTCTCAAAAAGAAAACACTTCCCATTGAGGTTTACCAGATCAAAGTCAACAGACATAAACACACTACAACTGCACAAATCACAAATAATTGTGTGGCATATCAAAAATGTCAAACATTTAAAAGTGAAGGTCTACACACAGTAGCTCATTTTGTATCACTTTAAATGATATCCAAAAATACTCTAAACAATTGTATTTGTAATATTATCTTTAGTCAGCTGATTAAGTCACTGTAAAGTATTATTGAATGTTGACAATTGAAATATGTGTGGTTGCACTAAGGCACATAGGTGTTACATTCTAACATTAGCATGCTAACATTGGCTCAGACACAATTGTAATGTGCTGAAGTACAGCAGATATACTGTTTACCATGTTATACATAGTCAAACTAAGTGAAAGTGTACTGACATCAAATATATGCACACTTACATTTATGGGCTCTCTTCAGTTGACCTTCTCAGAGCCCCTGGCCATGGGCGCTGCCACATCATCAGAGTTTGAGGTGGAGCCGGTGAAAGGTCGAAAGGTCAGCAAGGTTGTCAAGACGACGGTGGTGAGAGGCGAGAGGATGGAGAAGCAGACGGGAGACTCCTCGTTGGCTGCTGATCTCCCCTCAGCCAGAAAGGACTTTGAGAAGGTCAGTGTGTCAGTGAGAGGATTCTATGAAGAGCTGATGAACACATGTACACGGGGGTGTGGCTTGTTACCAACAGTTCAACAGTTCTTCCACAATTTGTTTTTCCTATAACTTAAAGTCAATTTGGTTTAGCTGATCTTTATGTCAGTTTTACAGTGTTTGTCTCCCCTTCCTCTCACCCCTCTCCTCCCTCGTTCTTCCCCTCCAGGCGTTGAGTTATGCTGGAGGCTTTGGGATAGGTCTCCTGCCTCATGTAGTAGAGAGAGAGATTGTGCAGGACGACGGTTCTGTGGTCAAAAGGTTGGACAGCAGCATGGGAGTGTGTAGAACAGCCACAAGGAATCTGATCTTTACTAAGAGTTAGCATGGTGTGATGTCATTCCTGTGTCTCAGCTGTAGTGTTACAGTCCAGACTTTGATTTAGCCTTGACCTTTGCAGAGTCAGTTAGCAGAAGCTAATATCTTTAACAACACAGGTGTTATTGTAGGTTTGGCCATTATTCTTATTCAAACGCCCTATCATGCTTTTTGAGGTTTCCCTTGTGTGTGTGTTTTATAGGTTTGTGTGCATGCAAATGGTCTGCAAAGGCTAATATCCCCCACAACCCCCCCTGCCTGAGACGCCTCAATGTTATATTATATGTTTAATTAACATATAACCATATAGTGACATCACTTTGTTACACTTGCGCTTCTATTGGCTAGCGCTGTAACACATTGTAAGTGATAGGCTAAGGGGGGGACATCTCTTAGCGGTTGACCAATCTGGGCTCTGGTTTCAGACAGAGGGTGAAAAGAGGTGCTGCAGCACAGGCAGTATGAGAACAATAAATACTACATACTGATATACACCTGAACATCAGCAGAGGACTCTTTAAAGTAGAGACACTACATACTGATATACACCTGAACATCAGCAGGAGAGGACTCTTTAAAGTAGAGACACTACATACTGATATACACCTGAACATCAGCAGAGGACTCTTTAAAGTAGATGCACTACATACTGATATACACCTGAACATCAGCAGGAGAGGACTCTTTAAAGTAGAGACACTACATACTGATATACACCTGAACATCAGCAGGAGAGGACTCTTTAAAGTAGAGACACTACATACTGATATACACCTGAACATCAGCAGAGGACTCTTTAAAGTAGAGACACTACATACTGATATACACCTGGACATCAGCAGGAGAGGACTCTTTAAAGTAGAGACACTACATACTGATATACACCTGAACATCAGCAGAGGACTCTTTAAAGTAGATGCACTACAAACTGATATACACCTGAACATCAGCAGGAGAGGACTCTTTAAAGTAGAGACACTACATACTGATATACACCTGAACATCAGCAGGAGAGGACTCTTTAAAGTAGAGACACTACATACTGATATACACCTGAACATCAGCAGAGGACTCTTTAAAGTAGAGACACGACATACTGATATACACCTGAACATCAGCAGGAGAGGACTCTTTAAAGTAGAGACACTACATACTGATATACACCTGAACATCAGCAGGAGAGGACTCTTTAAAGTAGAGACACTACATACTGATATACACCTGAACATCAGCAGGAGAGGACTCTTTAAAGTAGAGACACTACATACTGATATACACCTGAACATCAGCAGGAGAGGACTCTTTAAAGTAGAGACACGACATACTGATATACACCTGAACATCAGCAGGAGAGGACTCTTTAAAGTAGAGACACTACATACTGATATACACCTGAACATCAGCAGAGGACTCTTTAAAGTAGATGCACTACATACTGATATACACCTGAACATCAGCAGAGGACTCTTTAAAGTAGAGACACTACATACTGATATACACCTGAACATCAGCAGGAGAGGACTCTTTAAAGTAGAGACACTACATACTGATATACACCTGAACATCAGCAGGAGAGGACTCTTTAAAGTAGAGACACTACATACTGATATACACCTGAACATCAGCAGGAGAGGACTCTTTAAAGTAGAGACACTACATACTGATATACACCTGAACATCAGCAGGAGAGGACTCTTTAAAGTAGAGACACGACATACTGATATACACCTGAACATCAGCAGGAGAGGACTCTTTAAAGTAGAGACACTACATACTGATATACACCTGAACATCAGCAGGAGAGGACTCTTTAAAGTAGAGACACTACATACTGATATACACCTGAACATCAGCAGGAGAGGACTCTTTAAAGTAGAGACACTACATACTGATATACACCTGAACATCAGCAGAGGACTCTTTAAAGTAGAGACACGACATACTGATATACACCTGAACATCAGCAGGAGAGGACTCTTTAAAGTAGAGACACTACATACTGATATACACCTGAACATCAGCAGGAGAGGACTCTTTAAAGTAGAGACACTACATACTGATATACACCTGAACATCAGCAGGAGAGGACTCTTTAAAGTAGAGACACTACATACTGATATACACCTGAACATCAGCAGGAGAGGACTCTTTAAAGTAGAGACACGACATACTGATATACACCTGAACATCAGCAGGAGAGGACTCTTTAAAGTAGAGACACTACATACTGATATACACCTGAACATCAGCAGAGGACTCTTTAAAGTAGATGCACTACATACTGATATACACCTGAACATCAGCAGAGGACTCTTTAAAGTAGAGACACTACATACTGATATACACCTGAACATCAGCAGGAGAGGACTCTTTAAAGTAGAGACACTACATACTGATATACACCTTAACATCAGCAGGAGAGGACTCTTTAAAGTAGAGACACTACATACTGATATACACCTGAACATCAGCAGGAGAGGACTCTTTAAAGTAGAGACACTACATACTGATATACACCTTAACATCAGCAGGAGAGGACTCTTTAAAGTAGAGACACTACATACTGATATACACCTGAACATCAGCAGGAGAGGACTCTTTAAAGTAGAGACACGACATACTGATATACACCTGAACATCAGCAGGAGAGGACTCTTTAAAGTAGAGACACTACATACTGATATACACCTGAACATCAGCAGGAGAGGACTCTTTAAAGTAGAGACACTACATACTGATATACACCTGAACATCAGCAGGAGAGGACTCTTTAAAGTAGAGACACTACATACTGATATACACCTGAACATCAGCAGGAGAGGACTCTTTAAAGTAGAGACACTACATACTGATATACACCTGAACATCAGCAGGAGAGGACTCTTTAAAATAGAGACACTACATACTGATATACACCTGAACATCAGCAGGAGAGGACTCTTTAAAGTAGAGGCACTACATACTGATATACACCTGAACATCAGCAGGAGAGGACTCTTTAAAGTAGAGGCACTACATACTGATATACACCTGAACATCAGCAGGAGAGGACTCTTTAAAGTAGAGACACTACATACTGATATACACCTGAACATCAGCAGGAGAGGACTCTTTAAAGTAGGGACACTACATACTGATATACACCTGAACATCAGCAGGAGAGGACTCTTTAAAGTAGAGACACTACATACTGATATACACCTGAACATCAGCAGGAGAGGACTCTTTAAAATAGAGACACTACATACTGATATACACCTGAACATCAGCAGGAGAGGACTCTTTAAAGTAGAGACACTACATACTGATATACACCTGAACATCAGCAGGAGAGGACTCTTTAAAGTAGAGACACTACATACTGATATACACCTGAACATCAGCAGGAGAGGACTCTTTAAAATAGAGACACTACATACTGATATACACCTGAACATCAGCAGGAGAGGACTCTTTAAAGTAGAGACACTACATACTGATATACACCTGAACATCAGCAGGAGAGGACTCTTTAAAATAGAGACACTACATACTGATATACACCTGAACATCAGCAGGAGAGGACTCTTTAAAGTAGAGACACTACATACTGATATACACCTGAACATCAGCAGGAGAGGACTCTTTAAAATAGAGACACTACATACTGATGAGCAGAATATGGCCCCTTTAGATTGAACCCCCAGGCTTCTGGTGGGATGCAGCAACACAGCCACAACACACATTTGTGTCATATCACAAGTGACTCTTATTGCATTCTTGTTTGTAGAAAGATGAGACGGTCCCTTTTGTGCTGTTAATGTGTTGCTTTCAGCCAGTGTTGCTGCGATGCAGTTCAGTGTAATTTAATATACTGCCACTGGGTGGCGCTAAATAAACAAGTCCCCACTGTTAGTTTAATCTACTCAAAAGTTTGACCTTTACTTTGTGACAGATAATACCTCCTGGTTAAACTAACCAGTCCTTCTTTGTCTATCCTTCACAATCTACTGATAAAAAGCTTGGATATATAACCTTTGTTAACTGAACTTAGGAAATAATAGCTCAGGTTGGAGTCCAATTGAAGTATACAAAAGTCGACAAAGTTGCATGGTTTGAGTTTTGACATTGGAAACATGCATTTGACATATGAAGGCTCAGCCCATTGACTGTTGCCATGGAAACATTGAGGAGTTTATTTGATTTTTTAAGAAGAGGACATGAACAGACGTCTAACGCTGTCAATATTACAAATAAATAATTGAATCATTAAATAAATCCTGCTTTTATCAAGAGTTGTATTTCTAGAAATCTTAATTTTTGGTATTCATATTTATACATTTAAGTACATGGCACTGATATGTGAGTTATTGAAACCTCAGGAACTACTCTCTGCACTCTCTGGTTGGATGCAAACTGCAATTGACAATGAAGTTGAATCTAACCTAATCTAATTCTAATGCGTGACGTATTTATTTAAACATGTGAATCCTAACATAAAACCCATCATTATTGAAACTGTAAACAAGCCTGTAAACATCTTCTTTTGTTGTTCCTGCAGAAGCGAGATGCGTAGGTCTCGAACCCAGAAGAGGACTGTGGTGAGGGACTCCCAGGGAAAGCACGTGCACCTCGAGCGCCACGACGACCCCCCCCGACGCCCTGCAGCCCGACGCCCTGCAGCTGCACCTGCACCGCCTGCTGCAACACTACTGTGAGGAGGGGGAGGAGGAGGAGGAGGAGGAGGAGGAGGAGGAGGAGGAATGGTTTGAATAGCAGCTGCTGATCTTCCTCTGTGGCTCCGCCTCCTCAGATCCAGAGGTTCTGTCCCTTCTCGTTGTCCTCGCCGATCACTGGATTATAGCTTTCCTTCTTCTTTGTGTTGAACAATGGAACAGTATTTAGTGATTCAACACTCGTCCTTCCTTCACATTGTGTTTCCTTTGTGACCAAAGATGGCACCCTTCATTTCTGTCAGACTTGAGTTTTCCCTCTCGGGCTGCGGGGGTGTGTTCCGGTACGACCCGCCACCGGTGGATCAAACTCAGAGAGGGGCATCTCGGACGTTTTGGCCTCACGCACAGCCCTCTTCTTGAAGAACTCTTGTAAACATATGTACATAGAGGAGGAAATCATGCTTGAACTTAGGGGGGTGGGGAGAGAAGACATCTCAAAGCATTTAATACATTAGCCCACCCTGCTGTACATGCACCGACTCAGCGGGAGAATGGCCACCGGACAGATGACATTAATGTTAAAGAGAATACATTGTGGTGTGAGTGTGTGTCACCCTGCTGATCTGTTTACTAAGGCTGTGTGATCACACCTTTTGTCTTCCCATCATGCATCTCTTTTGTTTAACGTGTCAGTCTTTCTATACTGTGTTGTGCATTTGCATTTGATCTGTCACAGAGCTGCCACTTCTGTGTGTAAATACAGTTTGTGTATTGAGAGAAAGTAGAGATGGAGCAACCCCCCCCCCCCCCCCCATATATGTGTCACCTCCACCTTCACATGCTGCTCCTCATCCCCTCACACTGATCATATAAGGCTGGATCATGTTTCTTCTTGTCAACAACTCTCATGAGCAGAGCCACCAACAACAACCTCCCCTCCTCACAGGAAGTGTTAGTATCAAACCCCATCCTCCTCTGTGCTGGAGAGTTCCATTTTGGTCAAAAGTAGGTTAAAGTATGACTTTAAGCACTTCTCTGCCAGTAAAAGTGATGTAATAGTTTCATTTTGAGAGGACTCATAACGCTTCAAAATGCCCAAAGTTTTCTTTGCTTCCTGATTTTCTCAGTAAGTACAAGATGAGAGGAGCTGGACTGACCACTGTCATGTATGTTAAGGCTGCGTATCCTCTCCTGAGTCCAGAGGAACTACAGCAGATCAGCTGTTTGAGGAATTTACAGAGTCTATTTAATAATGAAAGTATATATCTGTGAGACATTTTTTAAATATTTACATCTTCACTGTGTTTGGGGCCAAGAGACAGAGACAGGGTCAGAGACAGAGACAGGGTCAGAGACAGAGACAGAGACAGAGACAGAGACAGAGCCAGAGCCAGAGACAGAGACAGAGACAGAGACAGGGACAGAGACAGAGACAGAGACAGAGACAGAGACAGGGACAGAGACAGAGACAGAGACAGGGTCAGAGACAGAGACAGGGTCAGAGACAGAGACAGAGACAGAGCCAGAGACAGAGACAGAGACAGGGTCAGAGACAGAGACAGGGTCAGAGACAGAGACAGAGACAGAGACAGGGACAGAGACAGAGACAGGGACAGGGACAGAGACAGAGACAGAGACAGAGACAGAGACAGAGACAGAGACAGGAACACACAGAGACAGAGACAGAGACAGAGACAGAGCCAGAGCCAGAGACAGAGACAGAGACAGAGACAGAGCCAGAGACAGAGACAGGGTAGAAAGACAGACGGATCTAGAGAGGGACTAACATGTTGTTGCTTTGGCTCTTTTCATGGGGTTTGTTGACAATAATACGAATAACTCCAGACTTATGCTTTATGTTTTTAGGAACCACACCTAACATAAATATGCTTTTCTTTAACTGCTGTTATTGGTTTGACTTTTTTGTGTTTTCACTGCTATCAAAGGATTAACACATCACATTCAAATCCAACAAAGTCCTTCCACTGACTTCAGTCATCGTACTTCCTTATTTATTTATTGCCGTCCATTTGTGATCCCTGTAACCTCCAGTGTGTGTGTGTGTGTGTGTGTGTGTGTGTGTGTGTGTGTGTGTGTGTGTGTGTGTGTGTGTGTGTGTGTGTGTGTGTGTGTGTGTGTGTGTGTGTTTGGATGTGTTTTAAAGCTCAAAGTAATACAGATGCCATGGTAGACAAGCAGGCTGTGGTGTGCATCTGTTTGCCCTGTACAGGCTGATGAAGTGTGTTCGGTGTTTATCTGCAGCTGAGACTTTATCTGTGTCCCAATACGATCCTCACGTGCTACTCTGTGTGTGTGACCCGATGGAAGAATAAAAGAAAAGTCAAAAACAGACCATTGATTTGATAAATGAGCATCTTGTTTCCATGGTGAAAAGAATATATACAGTACGTTCAAATATCTATGCGGGCATGTATGACTTTATCAAATAATTACTAAAAACCTGAAACGCTAAGAAGGCATAGCAGCTGCAGTGTGTACATGGCAGAAAAATAAATATGTACATTCGTCTAATGTGAAGTGATGTCATTCTTTCTGAGAGCAGCTGAGAGGAGTGAGGCTCGCTGTGGGGTGGCAGGGCGGGACTTCATATAAGGTTCCTTTCTCCTATTGGGTACTGAGTGATAGACAGGAAGGAGCGTGGGGTTGATATGCAGCACTATTTTACCATTCAATTAGCTGTTGCCTTTATCCAGCGATGGAGAGTAATTATAAAGTATATTTACTCAAGTATTTTACTTAAGTACTTTGTTTGACATATTAGTACTTCACTTAAGTATTTCCATTTAATGTTACTTTATATCTCTACTCCAATACATTTCAGAGGCAAATAACATACTTTTTACTCCACTACATTATTTGAACCCTCACAGTTACCAGTTACTTTGTACACATATGCTGATATGGTATTATGCAATACTGTACTTATTATCTATACAGTATTTCAAGTATCTAAATGTGGTCTAAATTGAACAAACACAAAACTAAAACTCTCTTACATTTATAAAAAACGGGATAATATAATAACCATTCAAATAAAATACTGTGAAAAGATCCATACTGTGAAAAGATCCATTCTGCAGAGTACTTTCACTTTTGATACTTAAAGTACACTTAGCTGACAATACTTTAATGAATCTGTAATGGTCATTGCTCATTGGGCAGAATGAGTACTATTCCTTTTTGATGTTAATACTTTAGTCTAAGAATAATACAAAATAAATGATACTTTGACTTGGAGTGGAGTATTTTAAAACCATAGGATGTGTAATTGACTTGATGAAAGGATCTGATTACTTCTTCCAACACTGCCTTTCTCCAAAGCGACCGACAGTGATTCAGTGAAACACAAAGATGCAAACAGCAAGAATCTGTCTGTTAGCTTGAAATAAGCAAAACCCTTTGAAGTACTACTACAGAAATGAGCATAGTTGTGTTACTTGGGCCAGGTGTAGACTTTCTGCTATCCAATGATGACCTTGTTCCAAGATGTGTGGAATATGATTAAAATATATATATTAAAGAGTGAGACATTTATAACAGTAGGAGAAGAAGAAAAGAACAAGTCATTTGGCATAAATCACACATTTTATTTGATATTTCTAAAACATACACCAGGCTTGTCCCATCATGGTAACATTATATAACCAGTGCCAGTGTAAATGCACTTTAGAAAGATAAGAAGTGTGTTGTGTGAGATGTGATTAAAGTAAGGAATGCAAACAGGAAAACATGTTAATATCCTCAACACAAACATAATCACACGTGAACACCATGTGACTGTTACCCATGCTTTTATTCTGAAGTATTTTCAATGATGAACCTTAATATATGAATCGTGTTGATCAATCGTGAAGTGTTGCCTACAATCCCTGTGTCCATTTGATTTGACAGTGACACTAAAAATAACAAAGAACTAGAATGCTGATTTACACCTCAGTCATTCTGGCTTACAATACATGTCCCTCCTGATGGAAATGAATGCCTGACTAACTTCCAAACCAAAGCTCTCAGTTGAAGCTGGCTTTCCTGTCAGTGTCAACAGCATTTCTACTTGATTCTTGTCCAGTGTAAAACATGGTGCTTGAAATTGTTGGCGTGCACCAGTCGGACCTAGAATACAGGTTGAAAGGGCTTCAAGGAAAGCTTGTATAATGAGAGGTGAAGGGACAGGCATTTACATCACAATATCAAAAGTAAACACAACAAAATAGCTGATAGAATTCACATCATTATTTCCTTACTGTATGAAAATATGATTTGACTGGAAAGAGTCATAGTAAGAATGATATGTATGCAGTTGATACATTCTATCATAAGAGACTCTTCTCACGGCTGCCTTGTGATGATGGAGGTTCAAACAGACACAATAAAACACGCTTTCATTGATTTTCCCTTTTAAACATGTACTTAAAATTCCCAGTAAACATATTTGGTGCCAGTGGCAAACCAGAAAACTGATTTGTAAAATGTGGACACTGCTAAAGATTAAGCAAAGAGCGATTTACTTCATTACCAAAACGTATAAATACCAAAACTAAAGCAAGCATGTGCCTGACCTTTAATAGATGGCAATTCTGAAAAGATACACAAGTCAAAAGCAGATATGTGATATATTGGTCATTGTGCCAAAAGGCAAAAACATCATATGAGTCCTCAATATGTGCAATATTCAAATGAAAAACTGTCAACATACGATGACTGGAAGTTTCACATGTTTAATTTAAAGTTACTAGGGGGGGGGGCTCTTCTGAAAACCACCTCTATTTAAAACCTACTGATCTAAAAAAGTCCTGTAATGAACACCACACAACCTCACTACAACATTATCAAGACTGTTTGTTCCTTTTCAACATGTGCAATATGTTCAGTCCAGCAGTGACCATATGTAAACAACACACTGAGGGGGCGGAGCTCTAGCTATGGTGGGGGGGTTGGCTGAGGGATCTGTTTGGACGTGGCAGGGGGGGGGGGCTGTTCAGCTGATGGTCGTAGGCTGGAGGGTGTCTGTGGTCAGAGACGGTCCTTTCAACTGAAACACAAATCACATGGACATTATTTACTATAGCTCTGTTCCCTCTGTCTGATCAAGAGCATGCTGTGATTGGTTAGCTCAACCTGTTTGATAGAAGAGCGAGTGTTACATAGTGATGTCAATATGTTCAAGAAGAAACCAAAGGAGGCCTTTCAGGCGAGGGGAGGAGTGTGGGAGAGAAACTCCATCTGGAGGGAACATGGGGATTGTAGCCTCTGCAGACCATTTACATGCACTGAAACCTATAGAACACACTACAGGAGAGGGAGAACCCAACAAGCAGAATAGGGTTCTTTCATTTGCTGTTTTCTTTAAACCAATGACAGTTGTGTGATTTGGTTAAAAGACTCACAAAGGGAGGTAAGAGGAGGTGAGAGGAGGTGAGAAGAGGTGAGAGGAGGTAAGAGGAGGTGAGAGGAGCTGAGAGGAGGTGAGAGGAGGTGAGAAGAGGTGAGAGGAGGTGAGAAGAGGTGAGAGGAGGTGAGGAGGAGGTGAGAGGAGGTGAGAGGAGGTGAGAGGAGGTGAGAGGAGGTGAGAGGAGGTGAGAGGAGGGAGAGGAGGTGAGAAGAGGTGAGAGGAGGTGAGAGGAGGTGAGAGCAGGTGAGAGGAGGTGAGAGGAGGTAAGAGGAGGTGAGAGGAGGTGAGAGGAGGTGAGAGGAGGTGAGAGGAGGTGAGAGGAGGTGAGAGGAGGAGAGGAGGTGAGAGGAGGTGAGAGGAGGTGAGAGGAGGTGAGAGGAGGTGAGAGGAGGTGAGAGGAGGTGAGAGGAGGTGAGAGGAGGTGAGAGGAGGTGAGAGGAGGTAAGAGGAGGTAAGAGGAGGTGAGAGGAGGTAAGAGGAGGTGAGAGGAGGTGAGAGGAGGTGATGAGGAGGTGAGAGGAGGTAAAAGGACCTTGAGTAGATCGTTTTGCTGTTTCTGAGCTTAGTCAAAACACTGATATCTATTTAGATTCTGAAATAGGAATGGGTAAATGATCTGTGTTATGTAAATATCGTGATATGAGACTATATATTGTCTCGTATCATATTTATATATTATAGTAATACAGCATTGCATACGTTTCCTAGTTGAACAGATTTACAGTGAACTGATATTTTCTGAATTCAACTGTTTTTTGTTGTTGTGTTATTTATTCCTTTGCCCGATTATGTAATTTGTTATTGCATAACTTATTATTGAGGGGGCGTCCGGTGCCTTGCTCAAGGGCACCACGGCAGGGCCCAGGAGGTGAACTTGGACCTCTCCAAGTACCAGTCCACTCTCCATATTTTAAGTCTGTTCGGGGACTTGAACCGGCAGCCCCACAGCTCCAAGACCCTATTTACTGAGCCACTGATGGATGAATTAAATGAATATTGCTATTATCATCTATTTGTTCCAGGCTGGTCATGTTGAGAGCATCTGATATCATGACAGCATTCTCTCTACTTCTGCATAGTAAGAAGCTTCATGTATGTTTACGGCATTCGAGCTACAGCATCAACAGGAAATAATCTTCCAGTAGAATCCTGAAGACCAAAGGACTCCCTCTACAGGCAGACAGAGTGAAGGAGGACCGACTCACTTGGTGGGCACGGTGGGCGAGCCGGAGCGGTGGAAGTGGATGTTCTGCCACTTGCTGTCGCGGCGGTGCCAGATGCGGGTCTCCTCGGACTGCATGGTGCGGGGCATGCGGTTGCCGTCGATGTACTGGGTGAGGCGGATGTAGGCGATGCAGGCCGCCTCGTCCCCGATCAGGTGGACGTGGGGGTTCAGCAGGATGGTGTGGACCGGCTGCTTGGCCTTGGACAGAGCTGCAGAGAGGAGCAGGAAGGACGGAGAGTCATGGGACCGCTCCTCAAAGGATCACATCTGCAGGCTCATGCTTATACAGACACCATTACATTACATTACATTACATTACATGTTAGACGTTTTTATCCAAACATATTCAATACTGTGGACAATCCCCACAGGAGCAATTTGGGGTGAAGTGTCTTGCCCAGGGACACAACGACATGCTGACTGCAGTGGGGTTTCAACCTGTGCTCCCCTGATCCCAACACCAATGCACTAATCCACTGCGCCACACGAGACAACTCAAGCTTTTCCCCTTTCAAGCATTATTTTGTAATTATTATTATTATTGTGAAATGCATGGCCCAGTATTGCTGTAATGAACCTACTGTAATAATGATTGCTTTTATTACAGTTACCATGCGTTCACTTTAGTTATTTACCGTTCTCAAAGTAGAAGCGGTGGAAGTCGGTTCCCTCCACCAGGTTCCCCAGGGCCTCGGGCTCAAAGGAAGTGAGCCCCGGATCACAGATCTTCCTGAAACACAACACCAGGCACAAATATCAGAGTCAGGGGAACATTTAGAGTGGAACCCATGGGAAAGAGGTACTCAAGTAAAAGTAGTAATACTACATTGTAAAAATACTCACTCGTGCATTCAAAATTGGGGATTATTTAAATGACTTGGTATCCTGCCAAGTATCTTAACCTATAATAATAAATATTCTGTATTATAAATCCATACCTGCAAAGTAGCTAGTAACTAAATCTGTTAAAAATGTTGTGGGGTAAAAAAAAAGAAAAAAATCCAAAAGGTAGCAAAGTATACAGTAGCATTACATGAAAATACTCAAATGTACAAGTAACTCAAATTGAACTTAAGTAGAGTGCATGAGTTAGAAATGAATAACATTTGAAGTCTGTCAGATAGTTGAGGTTAATAGTAACTAGTTACTAACGTGTATGTTTCCAGGTCTCCATTGTTGATGGCTTCGATCAGCTGCTCGGTGACTTTAATGATCTCCTGCTTACGAGCTGAAACACAGAGACAGGAAAACAAAGGGCTGTTGGATTAAATGAGATACAAATGAAATGATAAAAAAAATAAAAGAAGCACAACTTAAGGTTCAAATGGCAATGTAAAAATGCATGACGACATCGACGCAGAATCACAACGTTTAGGTACTGAGGTCATCGTCCAGAAGTACACGGTAACATCGAAATGAATGAAGGAAGGACTGGTAGGAAGTTAGTGAGCATGGTTCAACATTTAACATCAACATTACCTTTCATGCTAAGTAGGTAAGCTAGGAAACAATGAATTGAAAGAATAAGTGCTGTTGTATGGTAAGGGCACACCCACTTCTGACATTTACACTATGGTTATGACAATCAAAGTCAAGGAGTGAAACATTCTTTACACACACACACACACACTCATAGACAACGTTGTAATAACACACATGTTTACCTGCAACAGCTGGATTTGAACTGTTGTCTCCAGCTAACTGCACACTTACAGTCCGTTCCAGCTGTGCACTGATCCCCTCCAGTGACAGAAGGACCAACAAACTGACTGCAGGAAGGTGAAACATGCTGCCTCTAACTTAGCGCTCTGTTGGAGACTGAAACGTGCAGCTGCAGCCTCAGACGGACTTAAAAAGTCTACAACCACAGTGCTCTCCTCTGATTGGTTGTTTTCAAAATAAGCCTTACGCAGCTGAAATGATGTGGTGGACTTTACTTTGCAAACAGAAACTTAGTGCTGACTATGTTTACAGAGGCACTATCAGTTTGATAATGGGGCCTTTTGGGTGCACTTACAAAACTGCACATAAATGTGTCACACGCTTTGTCCGCTTTAAAAAACACACATCAGGAGCGAGTGCTGTTTATGAGATGTCTATATGCCACCTGTAAATGGGCGGCACCAACACAACAGATGTTCTGTTTTGAACTGCTTAAACTATATGACTATCGTCTATAAGCTTCTTGTGTAAGATTATCCCTTCTTTCACATAACTGTATTAGGTTAGTTTAATCCAATAATATTAAGTTGAACCTAATATTACATTGAGCTCAATCAAGCTCAATGATAGACTCAATTGTCATTTTGCATCGCTTCATTCGCTTTTCAAATTCACTGTTTTATTTTGCGTTGAACTAATCAAACAGTAATTGTTGATATATTTTTCTCACCTTGGAGTTAAAAACATGTGATCTCATTGGGCAAATATCTGCTCAGAGAATAGGTTCATCAAGGTTGTGAATGTGATAAACATTTGATTTATTTGATGTTAAAGGTAGGGTAGGTAAGTTTGAGAAACCGGCTCGAGATACACTTTTTGTTATATTCCATGGAATGCTCTTAACATCCCGATAGCAATGAATATCTTAAGTGCTTTGACAAAAAATCCATAAAAAAATGTCATCTGTGGAAGCTGTAGTACTGTAAAAAGCACGACCAATCATTTTAGCCGGGCCGGCTAAAATGATTGGATGGCCTACCTGCCTGTCAGCCTTCCATCTGTGCACAAACTTATCTCGTGCCCTCATTGGTCATGTGCACGTTCGTGTGTGTTGGAGGAGGGGCTCTGTAAGGAAGTGGCACATTTTCTCCGGTTGTGTATTTTCAAATTCTAGCGATCTCGAGCCGGTTTCTCAAACTTACCTACCCCACCTTTAACTTCCACTTCGTACATTTAGCCGTATGCAAAGAAACCTTTAAACGTAGGACTATCTTTGAAAACGTATTTTTCTGTGGTAAATCTATGGTTTTATTTAAGTTATATTCTTTGAACAATTGTTCCACTACTGGAACTGCAACGGTAGTAATAATATCACAGATCAACTTAAACCCAACTCCATCATTTAAACTGACATAAACAAAGCAGAGGACGACGTGGTGTTTCACTCCTCCTGTCATTACAATACGTGAGAACAGAGGAAATAGGATCTTGCCTGATAGTAAGTGGACAGGTTTTTCATGGTGTTTATCAGCCAGTCAGAGTGAAATATGAGTAGAAGCAGTAAGAAGAGCTTGGATTATATCTGGACAATGCTCATGCTCCGCTGTACATGTGGAGTGGAAATAATGCCTTTTGAGCGGTATAACAAAAAGTCTCCTTTGGGATTTGGTATAAGAGCACGGACAGAAAGATGAAGGCTTAGCACACGCACACTAATGCACAGAAACACACGTAGCAGATGGTGATACATACAGAGAAACTCATCCTTTGCAGTAGTAAGACTACAACACCGTTTACCGTTACTGCATGAAGAGATGATGGGTCACACACAAACACAATCAAATACTTTTCTTGCAGTATTTGTTGTGCTACTGTTTTCATCTCAAATGAGCAGAATGCAGATATTTCTGTGAAGACCGAAACTAATACTATGGCCAGTAACTTCACTTAATTTTCCTTATTTTTTACATAACAGAAAAAGCCTTAACAAAAGTGTGCAATATTTCCATTTAAGCAATAAACTGCAAAATGACTAACACTTTCAATGCCAGCATTCAGTACCTTAACAACGCTCAATACTCTGTGCTACAGACACATTTTGGTTTGATTAAAAAGTGATTTGATTTGAAATCTCATCATAACCATACATTGAGTCATTGTTTCTTCAGTTCAGAATTCAAGCAGTTCAAAGACTTCTTCTACATCTGCTTTCTCAAAGCTTGACTCCAACAACTAATTACTAACTGCTTTAATAATTGTAAGATGGTGAAAATGTTTTAGTTTATACAAAGCCGGTGCTAAAGCCATTGTTACTTTGTGAAATAATCTTTAAATTCTTTGAAAAACATTTTGTAAAAAGAAAACGTTGCCAAACAAAGGCCATGCCTGTGAGTCAGACGGTGCCTGGTGTGAGGTGACGAACATAAAGGCATGGAACCACCAACCTAAACCCAGCTGGTGTAGTTACAGCCTCTGACCTGTGGGGGGCGCTGTGAGGCAGCAGCTCTGCACTCACACCAGCTGAGGTGTGGTTCAAAACATGTCACACAAGTGTATATATATATAAGGTTAGTTGAAAGCAATAATATTAAGTTGAAACCTTTTTTTGTATTTGCTTGTATGGGAGGCGTGTGGCACAGTGGATAGAGCCTTGGTGTTGGGATCAGGGGGTTCAAACCCCCCTGCAGTCAGCATGTCGTTGTGTCCCTGAGACACTTCACCCCAAATCGCTCCTGTGGGGATTGTCCACAGTATTGAGTATGTAAGTCGCTTTGGATAAAAGCATCTAACAAGTAACATGTAATAATAAATGTAAACTTAATATTATTCCTTTCAACTAACCTTGTTATGTTATGTTATAACCTAAGTTATGTGTCATTTGCTGACATAAGAAGTCCCCTGCATGTGTGTAGTTGTACTGTGTGCATGAACAGAGCCAGAAACTGAATTTCCTCATGAGGATAAAAAAAAAAGGTCTTCTGTCTTCTTTTCCGTATTGTTGGTGGCTTCTTTACCGTATCAATACCCAGGGAAGGTCCAGAGGCTGGGGGCACATTCCTCTGTGAGCACATTGTTTACTTGATGCTGTCATCCACCCGTCTGACCACTCATTAACAAGCCTTCTGCTATGAAGAGCTTTTCCAAGCGTCAATCATCATCTTCACTTTTGACATTGCTCCTTGCATTTATAGCCCTTTTGGATGGGTCTACTCTAAATGACGCACAGGGGATATACGCATCTTGGCTAGGCCCTGTAACAGACACTTTAACATGACATCAAGAATTAACAGGTCCATTCAAGAAATTCATAAATGATAATTGGACTTAATAGAAAAAGCAAACACAGACATACTTTGAACCCTTACATGTTTGTGTATCTTGGGGGGTGCAGTCTGACAGGATGTGTCCATGAGAGTGTAATCATGGTGTAATGTGGGAGTGGCATTGGTGTCAAATAGGTCTAATAACAGTGTAACATTGATGACATGGGGTGTATTATAATATAGGTGAAATACATGTAGAAAATAGCAATTGATTATTTCCCAACATATTTGATGACTACTGATTTAAGTGTTAAAAAGTGATCCATAAACTATAAAGTCAAACTAATTGTAAATTGTTGGCGATTCCTCACATATATTCAATTACTTCTAAATGTCAAAGGGAGAGGGAACTCTGGGAAATGGACTTACATTGGGAGTCAGCGGGGCCCAAGCTGGGCAGGGGCACGGCGTGCTGGGTGCCCGGCCCCTGGGGGGGGGGGCCACAGTGGCATGTGGTGGAATGGTCAGAGAAAAGCAACAGACAGAAAGATGCGAAGAAGAGGAGCAGGTAGGCCGTCCACAGAGCCAACAGGAAGTACTGAGAGCCCCCCTCAGCAGGGGGCCACACGCTGGGAGAGTACCAGCAGGAGGAAGAGGAGGAGGAGGAGGAAGAGGGGGAGGGGGAGGGGGAGGGAGGCATGTGAAAGGTGGGCTGCTCTACATCCTTAAGGAGATAGATCTGAGGGTCGGGCGAGGCACTTTCTACTGAGATGAAACGGGGCGAGGAGGAAGAGGAGGAAGAGGAGGACGAAGCAGGAAAGACAGAAAGACATGAAATGGAGAAAATGAAAAACATGAGATGGAGAATGAATGAAAGGCATGCAGGAAATGACCATTTTTGAAAGCCATAGAATTGTTAAGATGGTGGTGACCAAACCAGAGCTAAAAAGCAAAGGGAGAGTTGGACTTACATTCAACAGCTGGACTCAAATCCTCTTCTGTGGAAATAATTTGCCCCCAACCACCCCCTTTGCCCCCAACCACCCCCTTTCTACAAGCCCCCAACCACCCCCTTTGCCCCCAACCACCCCCTTTCCACAAGCCACCAAACCAACACAACGTTTCCACTTTACTAAAACCCTTTAGTGTAGAGAAACTAACAGGAAGCCATTAACCATCCATCATTCTCAGCGGTGCAAATGAGTCATATCAAAGAAATTGCAATTCCTGCACTTTTATCTTCCCACTTCCTGCCACAGACAAAACCATTAACAAAGGACAAAAGATGTCAAGATCAAAATCA